GGAAATTGGCCTTAATTCTTGAAAGCACCTTATCAAGTGATGAAAGATGACCATTAGCAATGGCTTTGGGGAAATACAACTTACCGAACAAAAATGGACTTAGCTAATGGAAAAACCAGCCATATTTCAATCATTTGCAGCTTCTCGTCTTAAGCGAGAGTTGCAATAATGTTTGGAAGGAAATACAATTTACAGCCTGAGGACAATTATTAGCAGCATCATATTTCTGTCTGTTATGGTTGTGACAGAAAAAATGTTGGCAAACAGAGTTCGAAATATAACAACAGAGGCAAGCAACATCCGACTATGTCGTAGCTCTGAATTCGTTGCTGTGACAGGAGACTGACTATAGCATATTTGGATATCCTGATTTTTTATCTGCTGCATCTTTGGCCGGCAGTTGTCTCTTCTAAGTTTCACCCTTTTTTCTTCACCGTGTTTCACATCATTTTAACCATGAGACAGGCTATCTCTTGAGCTAATCCTGAACATAGAACCATCACGAAAAACCATTAGGCACCTGCTTATTCTGATCAACATTTTTCTTTTCATAAAATTCAAATGAACTAACAAGTTGTAAGTGATGTAAATTTTTAGTAAGATCACAATTATCCTTGTATTCATTTCTGTTCTCCTTTTATCACTCTGCTTTGACTACAGAATTTCAAGTTATTTGAAACCTCATCAAGATGAAAATGAACACAAGAATAATTACGACCTTTCTGCGATGCTTTCATTATATAAAGAAACAAACAATACCTTGTTATAGAATTTGCGGATTCACTGTAACTCATACGGTGCTTGACAATGGGATTCACTTGTGCCCATCTTTGTTGGAAAAATTGTTGCAAACCTGCACTGAACCAAAGTGTAGCAATGGGCTGTACAGTGATGATCTGCCATCTCAATCAACCTCTGCTGTCTTCAAGGAATAACTCTACTCCAAGACGTGGAATATATTTTTCTACTGATTTTGAACTTCCTTTGAATGAACCATGAAGCCAATTCAAGCTGTCTCTCCGAACTAACATTCAAGTGTGGTATGAATCATTTCTTGAGTCATTTTGCATTTGTGAAACTATTCGCCTTGAACTCTCAGGAAACTACGTTAAGAAACAGTGAAGGGACAGAACCTATGAAAGTTGACTTGACAGTAAGAAAGGGGAAATAATAAGATTATAAAGATAGGTGTATATGACTACCTGTACAAGTTTTGGCTCCAGTATATTCAGTACAGGTTGAACCTGCAGCAGGATGATTAATGAATGAGCGGATTATAAATCTAAGAAGGTATTACAGCTCAAAAATGCTATAAAACAAAGGCATTTTCGATTGGAAAATAATTTTGCATTTACCAAAACAAAGAAGAGGTTAGAGAACCTATCAGATTAACTTGTAGATTTGGCTGTTGTTTCTTTATGTTTTGTTAAGGTTGAACAGCTTCGGCAGCCTTGCAGAAGTAGATGAAACCCTGAGATAAATCATTCAACAGCAAACATGAGCATCTGAAAATTTTGTATTCTTAAAGGAATTCAGTAATTGTAAGAATACAAAATAGTTCACTCTTTAGCACAAATTAGAGTCATTACTGCAAATCAACATGAAGCACATTCGTCAGTGTATGTTTCTGATTGTGAAGAAACAAAAATCACTTGTGGCTTACACAAACACAGCATGAAAATACCAAATCATAATGGACATCCTATAAAATTTCTATTCAGCATATATAATTATAGAAATCGAAAGCAAATGAGTGGTGGTGCTCAAGTAAAAATAGAGAGGCAGTTTCAAGTGATGCTTGATCAGGATAAGATAAAATGGAACACCTTACTCTCTTGATAGCAACCAGGTTACATATTAAGCTTTTTCCCATATTGACAAGCTCCATGGCTAGCTGGGGAGGCCCAGGTGGAGGCCAATTGAAAGAGAAAGCACGTCTAATAGAAGTTCATATCCCAACTAATCAAGTAAGTTTGACCACTTGCAACAGACGAGAAAATGTGATGGGAATCTGTGGCAGCACTCTAAAAATAATACTATTGACATAGTGAAGCTTCACCATAAACAAACAGAGACCTTGTTTATAGCAAAAAAATTAACAACATAATTATATGAAAATATTAAACTTGTTTTTTGTTAAAATACAGTGCTCGAAAACACTTTTTTTCCAGCTAAGGACAATTGAAAAACAATTTATGATACCATAGATGCAAGGCTGAGAAATTGGTTGATACCTAAGCATCAGAACATTCTTAAGGTTATATAGGGGATGTGAGAAATCTTGAGCCAATCTTCCCCTGTCTCAGTTTCACATTAAATGAAGCAAATTGCCTAAAATTTGAAGCGATGAATATAAATTATGCACCTTTTCTGCTGCTGAAATGATGTTGGCGAATGTTGATTATACTTCATTATGACCAACAAAAGAGAAGAAGTAATGGAAGCTGCAGCAGCGTGATTATGGAATGATCTGAATAGAAGTCTATAAAGGGTGTTGCAGCTCAATACTGCTATTAAACAAGCTCATTGATCATTCAAAGCCCTTAATAAATTCAGAAAACTTCTTTTGACACATGATTAACCTTAAAAAAAAGTAATAACCAATATGATTTACCTGGATCAATATTCCAGTTCTCCTGGTTTCATATGTGCATTGGGTTCAAAGGAAACTTGATCGACCTTCAATGCATACTGAAGAAACTTGGAAACAAAATCCTATTTTTCTGACGAATAATTTATGATAAGAAAATCAAATAGATTAACAATACAACATAATTATGTGATGAAAGCACCCAATATATATGTATTTATATAATTATGTGACAAACTATGTTTTTTCTGAAAATGCAAAGCTCAACAACTAGCAAATGGAATCCCAGAAGAAATTGCAAGACTGAGAAATTAGTAAATACCTAAAGAGTATTTGGGGACCGAATATAGCATATTTGGATATCCTGGTTTCCGATCTGCTGCATCTTTGGCCAGCAGTTGTATCTTTCTAAGTTTCATCCTTTCTTCACTTTGTGTGTGACGTCATTTTCACCATGAGGCATAGGCTATCTCTTGGGTTAATCCTGAACATAGAACCATCATGAAAAATCATTAGGCAGCTGCTTATTCCGATCAACCTTTTTCTTTTCATAAAATTCTAGTGAACTATCAAGCTGTAAGTGATGTAAATTGGTAGCAAGATCACAATTATTCTTGTTTTCATTCCTGATCTCCTTTATAACTCTGCTTTGAGCACAGAATCTCAATTTATTCAAAACCTCACCATGAAAGAAAATGAACACAAAAACAATTATGACCTTTGTGTAATGCTTTCATTATATAAAGAAACAAACAATACCTTGTGATAGCATTGGCTGATTCACAAGAACCCATACGGTGCTTCACAATGGGATCCAATTATGCCGATTTTAGTTGGAAAAATTGTTGCAAACCTTAACTTAAAAACATAGTAATGGGCGTGCAGTGAAGACCTGCCATCTCAATTCTGAAGAGTTGTTCCACCTCTGCTGTCATCAAGGAATAACTCTGCTGTCATCACGACATATAGTCCAAGAGTCCAAGTTCTAGAGAAATGACAATGAACTTCCTTTGAATGAACCATGAAGCCAATTCAATCTCTGACTACGAACTACCATTCAAGCATGGTATGCATCATTTCTCTAGTCATTTTGCATTTGCAAAACCATATGTCTTGAATTCTCAGGAAACTACGTTAAGAAACAGAAGAGGTAGAAAACCTATCAAATTTGACATGGCACTAAGAAAGGAGAAATAATAAGAATATAAAGATAGTTGCAATATGACTACCTGCACAGGTTTTGGCTCCAATAATTTCAGTAAAGGTTGAACAGCTTTTACACCCTGGCTGAAGTAGATGAAAACCTGATGAGAAGGGTTGTTCAAGAGAGATCATAAGCATGCCAAATTTTTATATCCTTAAAAGAAATCCAATATGAGAGCTAGAATGGATCATATTTGCCAATATGTTTCTGTTGCAATGAAATGTAAATTAACCAAGCACCTTTTCTTCTGCTGAAATGACATGGCATTAAGAAAGAAGAATATGAGAGGTGAATGTCAATTATACTTCTTTATTTGATGACAGGGAACCTGTAGCAGGATATGATTAATGAATGATCTGATTATAAGTCTAAGAAGGTATTACAGCTGAAAAATGCTATAAAACAAAAGCATTTGCAATGGAAAATAATTTTGCATTTAGAAAACAAAGAAGAGGTTAGAGAACCTATCAGACAAAATTGTAGATTTGGCTGTTGTTTCTTTATGTTTTGTTAAGGTTGAACAGCTTCGACAACCTTGGAGAAATAGATGAAACCCTGAGATAAATCATTCAACAGCAAACATGAGCATCCAAAAATTTATATTTTTAAAGGAATCCAGTAATGGTAAGAACGCAAAATAGTTAGTTCTTTAGCACAAATTAGAGTCATTACTGCAAATCAACATGAGGCATATTAGGATTTAGCAAAAACATTAACAAAATAATTATGTGACAATAAGATCGAGAAATAAAATGTTCTACAACTAGCCATTAGTAATAATAAAATAAATCTCAAAAAGAATTCAGAAAACCACAGATGCAAGGCTGAAAAATCGGAATACCTAAGCATGTTGGGGAATTGACATAAGATTGTTGTTGCTCAATTTCTTATCCTCCGGAATGGTTCATTTTCTTATGGTTTGGACATAAGTATATAGGGGATGTGAGAAATCTTGGGCCAATCTTCCCCTGTCATCCTTTCACACCTTTTTACCAGCGAAGGACAATCGAAAATTCTAAGACATGTAAGGGAGGAGGGCAGTCCCTCTTCTGGCATGGACTCAAGCTTCTGACAATTCCAGATGTCCAAATTGCAAATAGAGTTGAGGTGCTGAAGCCCCTGCAGAGATTTCAGATTTTTCAGATTCGTGATTTCAAGGCTTTCAAGGGAAGAAGGCAGCCCCTCTTCTGTCATAGACTCAAGCATCGGACATCCGCAAATCTTCAATTCGCGAAGAGAGGTGAGGTGTTGAAGCCCCTTGGAGTTCAGAGATTTCAGATTCCGGATTTCAAGGAGTTCAAGGGAGGAGGGTAACGACTCTTCTGGGATGGGCAGCACCTTGTAGTCCAGATCTTTCAAATCCAAACTTTCAATGGAGGATGACAGCGACTCTTCTGGGATGAACTCAAGGTCAGAACATAGATCGATCTTTAGACTGCGAAGAGAGGTGAGGTGCTGAAGCCCATTGTAGTCCTGATCTTTCAGATTCCAGATTTCAAGGTGTTTAAGGGGGAGGGTAGCAACTCTTCTGGGATGGGCTCAAGCCTAGCACGACTCCAGATCTTCAATTGGCGAAGAGAGGTTAGGTGCTTTAAGCCTTTGTAGTCCAGATCTTTTAAACCCAAGATTAGGTCTTCAGTGGAGGATGGCAGCGACTCTTCTGGGATGAGCTCAAGCTCAGGACATTCACAGATCATCACATCGCGAAGAGAGGTGAGGTGCTGAAGCCCCTTGTAGTCCAGATATTTCAGCTTTCTCAAACGGTTGATTCTAAGAAATGTAAGAGCGGAGGGCAGCAGCAGTGTCTCCCCAGGGAAGGACTCCACGTCATCGTCCCCACAAAAACTGAAGCTTGAAAGAGAAAGGAGAGATTGCAGTGATGGACTTAATGCGTTGAGTTTGATAGAATCATGGATCAAAAGGGATTTTAACTTGGAAGGCAAACGCCCATTTGGAACTGAATCAAGTTGTGGAAGACGCCTCAATTTCAATTGCTGAAGGGAAGGGAGGAGGGAATGCATGTTTTCTGGCAGCGACTTCAGATTAGGACAATCTCTGACTGCCAAATATTGGAGAGAGAGAAGAGGTCCCTCGCTTATGCAAAGGGATTCAAGATTTTTACAGCCATAGATTCTAAACATAGAAAGGTGGGGCAAAAAGTCTAGCTGACAGCTCTTGAGTGAACGACATTTAAATATAACTTGAGTGACAGAAGAGAAAAGACAGCTAGCTCGCTTAATGCTCTTTAACAGGGAGCCTTTACCAACTGTAAGATTCCAACAAGAATCTGGGTGACGAGTTGTAAATAAAAGGAAGTTTAAATTAAATTGGATGAGCTTGGGAGGTGCTGGGAACGAACGCTCAAGCTTTGGACATGAAAGCATTTGAAGATCTTCAAGAAGAGGAAAAGCACCAGCTACACCTGTATTCCATTCTTTCCATTCTGGCATCAGCTGAAAATTTAATGTTTTGAGGGATTTAAACGGCTTCTCCGTCAAAGGATCACTTCCATAGAACTCCAAACCAACAGCCACAACTTCATCAAATCCTGCAATATAGAGCCCTTCAAGAGATGGAAGCTGCCCAAGTGGTGGTAAGGAGGTGCAGTTTTTACATCCAGTGAGGGTCAACGACGTCATATTTGAGAAAGAAGAGTTTCCAACCCAATTTGGAAACTTTGTACCCCCATAACCAATAATGTCAAGTCTTTCCACATTTACAGAAGGCTCCAATTTCTCAAGTACGTCCCTCTCATGCTGCGTGTCATACTTCTTGCCATTCCATTCCAACATCAACTTCTCAATCTGCTTCTTACCTTTTAAATTGGCATCCAAAGCATCTTGAACATCTACAACATTTTGGAGATTACGTATAGAAAGCCTTTTTCATAGATGTAAGAGCTTTCCCAACTCTTTGATGCTAGACCCACTTTGTTTTCCTAAAAAGAAATCTGTCAACTTCTGAAGTTTTCTGAGTTTTCCCATTTCTGATGGCATCTCTTTCAGTTTCGTCATTTGAATATGAAGCTGTTGTAAGTTGACCAATTTGGACATGTTGGTTGGCAACTCTATGAGCTCGTGACACCCTTTCAATATTAATGTTTGCAAATTGTACAAAGAGCATACAATTTCAGGTAGTCTTTCTATTGATGTATATGAAAGGTCTAGGTGTCGCAAATGTTTCAAGTTACAAATTGAATCGGGCAGCACACTTATTTTGTGGAAAGACAAAGATAGCATTCGCAAGCGCTTTAGAGTTGTGCATATGTCATGCAATGCTATATCAATAGAAGGTTTTTTTGACCATTTCGATAGATCCAAAAAGATGCGTAGATGTTGGATTTCATGAATGTGCTCAAATGTGTTTTGCAGATCATGTCTTGAAGTGAATGAAAAATAACGAGTCCTTTTAGGAGGCCTGCATGAATTTTCATCCTCTAACCCAAAGCCCGATCCTTCATTCCCCTCAAACTTATAACAAAATTCCCCAGACACGTACTCTGCTAAATCGGTTATGAGATCATGCATGCTGAAGAGTGAAGAAGACTTACTTGATTGCTGAAAAAATGACCTAGAGACAAGGTCATTAAAGTATTTCTCACCTATTTCTTCCATCTCACCACCTCTTGACGGGATTAGAAAACCCTCTGCCATCCACAAAGAGATTAATTCCTTCTTTTTAAATTCATAACCCTTAGGAAACATTGCACAGTAAGCAAAACATCTTTTCAGATTGGATGGGAGATAATAATAGCTCAGTTTTAGAGCCGGAGGGATGTTTTCGCTCGACAAACCCCACATACTACTCTTCGATATCTTCTCCCATTCCTTGGCATCTCCTTCAGAGTGCAGAAGACCACCAATAGTTTTCACCGCCAGTGGTAGACCTATGCATTTTTTCACTATTTTTCTGCCAAAATTTTCCAAGTCTGAAAGTGCATGGAATTCATGCCACTGAATGCATGCCTTGTAAACAACTGCCAGCAATCTTCATACTCTAATCCCTTCAACTGACAAGGAGGGATAACAGTTTGCATGACTTTCGCCACATCTTTATCCCGAGTTGTTACAAGAATCTTTGCTAGCTTTGCATACTGCAGAGGGAGCAGTAATTTGACCCATTCATTGTACTCAATGTTCCACACATCATCCAGAACAAGCAAAAATGTTTTCTCCGTCAATGCATCCTTTAGAGATTCATCTGGTTCTTTGGTGCCACTAGTGCTTGCGTTGATCTTCTTTAGAATATCATCCATTACTCTAGTAACATCAAACTGTTCAGAAGCCCAGACCCAAGCTTTGAGTTGGAAGCACTCCTCTACTCTGCTGTTGTTGTAGACGAGCTGAGCAAGAGTGGTTTTACCGATTCCACCCAATCCCACGATAGGAATCACAACAACATTTTGGCCAATTTCTTTATTCCGTATCAACAACCTCATTATGGCTTCCCTATCAGCTTCCCTACCATAAACATGAGATTCATTAACCAGAGGAGTTGTTTTCTCGGGCGAAGGTCTCCTTCCAGTAGTACCTTCTATGTGGCGCAGATCACCCTTGTGTTTAACTAAACGTTCAAGCCTCTCAAAAATCTTCTCTAACTCTGCTTCCATTTCTTTCATCCTTTCGTTATCTGGATTGAAAAATGGAAGGAAATTCCACATCTGCAATGGCGGAACATGATATAAATTTTAGAAGAGACGAGATTATAGGTAGAATATATGATCAGTCATGTTCCCTTACAAACATGAGAGGATCGAAATCCAAAACATTTGATATAGATATCATAGGAATACATAAAAAGTACTATAATTTACCTTTTGGCTGAGATAATTTTTCACCCAATTTTTTGTTGAAAAGAAAATTCAAAGTACAGAGAACTAGCTCCTTCCAAAATTTGAAATTGATACAACATATTAGAATTAGAATTGCAAAATTATCCATTCTTACTGATTTTTTCAAAATTACAAAACTAATTATAAATAGATTAAAATACATTTTATGACATGTATAAAGAACACATGCGATAGGACTGAAAGGATGGAGTATAAAAACCCACAAAGCGCTTAATTAAAACTCATTTGACTAGAAAAATAATGCGTAAACTCATTCAAAGCGAATGAAAATGTATATTGAAGTTTAAAATTTGAAGGGATATTCAAAACAACTATTTTAAAAACTTAAGCTTACCTGAGTTAAACCTAAACATGTGGCAGGTTGAGAGGCAGCTTCGTCCTTGTATCGTTGATGTTCATAATCAATCTCACTCCAGTATGTCCTCAGCTTCATAGACAGCATGGCTTAACGTCATTAAGCCAGTTCTTCACAGAAGGCTTGGTAATCTGCTTCTCCTCCGCATCTTCGAGCAGTCCGTTGACAGTATTCAGCGTTTCTTTCAACTTCTCAAGAAGACCATCATTGAGTTTCTGGGCTTTGAAGAAGTTCAGAACCTCCGGAGAAGCCAACTTGTCGACCAAAACCTCAATGACAGCAGTGAGAAGTGATTCTCCGATCAAAGCCAGAGCCATGGTGTGGATGTTTGCAAAGGGATGAGAGTACTGTGGGAGAGAAAATTTAGTAGAAAGCAGAAGCAAATGAGTTGCAAAGAAAATTTGGTGGAAGGCTTCCTAACAGGATTAAATAATATTATGTTTATGTCGTGGAAATTGGTTTACAGTTGCTCAGACTTTTTAATCAATATGATTAAAAAATTTGATAGAAAGATAACACCGAAACCATTAAATAACATTACAAGTAAAAGAAATACAAATCTGAAACCTCTTAAAAAGTGGTGTGAATGCGAGTGTGAGAGAGAAAACTAGTAGAAAGCAGAAGCAAGTGAACTGCTGAGAATTATGAAGGAAGAAAATGAGACTTTAAGGGAACAACATAGAAATTCATAGAAGGATTAAAGTAAATTAAAAACATTGACTTGGGGTGTTCAAGTCACTAATATCTTAATTAGCAGTCTGGTTATAGGTCTTTTTGTAACGTGTGATATGAACAAGAGGATTAGATGGGATTAGTTATCTTCAAGTGGACATTCATTAGCAGTCTGGTTAGGTATTTTCTTGTTATTATGAGATTAGAAACTTGTCAAGAGGATTAGATCGATGAGATTAATTATCTTCAAGTGGACATTAATTAGCAGTCTGGTTACGTCCTTTTTTAATGCGTGATTAGAACATAGTCAAGTGGATTAAATAGGATTAATTATCTTCAGGTGGACATAAAAAAGGGTCCCTTAGTAGAAGTATCTTCGCATATGCAATGTGATTCCTTCAAATGTAAATTAAAGGAAGGAACATCCTCCATTGAAACTGTTTCAACTGAATCTGGTTAAATGAGTTGGGTCATATGCCACTTGGTTTCCTTGTCTCTTCGCAAGTAACAAAATCTCTGAAACCTGATGCCATATCTTCAATGTCTTCTAAAAGTGATCGAGAATCAAAATCAACTTTGAAAGGCTTTTGACTCACTTGAACAAGCAACAAGCAATCAGTTTCCAACTCCACCTCTTGGAGCCCCGAATCAGTAGTTGGTTGGAGATTATAAATGGTACTGTTTGTGCTTCTGCAATATGACTCCTACCGTTTGACAAGGCATCGAGAAAAGGGAATAATACGAGTTAAAAAGGGCCACAATACAATTACCTGGACAAATTTTGGGCTCCAATATTTTCAGTAGAGATTGAACAGCTTTCGCAGCCTGGCAGAAGTAGATGAGACCCTGAGATAAATAATTCAACAGCAAGCATGAGCATTGGAAATACAAAAACAGTTTAATCTGTAGCACAGATTAGAGTCCTTGATATCAACGCTCAATGCAAGGAAACATGGAGCATATTTACCAGTAAATCATATATGTTTCTGTTTGTGAAGACACTGAACATCAATTTGTGGCTTACACGGAAACACAGCAGTGTTGGTCCTCTGTTCTTAATGATCTTGAAGTGGTGGAGGGGTGTTTTGTCAATGGGATATGCTCTAACTCGGTGGTGGTTTTGGAGATTGCAGGAGGCCTGGATTTTAGTATTGTGACGAGGGCTTTTGACCGAAAAACTTAATCGAGCTTAAGATGTAGAGGAGTATTCATTGTTAAGGATTTCATTCCAGGGCTTAGCCGACACAAGATAAAAACAGCTTGAGGCCCAAAAGAGGTGTAGAGTTCACTAAGGCAATAAGCCTTGCATTAAAAACCAAACTGAAGCGTAGAACGTAGAGCCTCCAGAAATGAAAACATCCTTACCATATTGATTTATGGTTTTGGGTTTTGACTATTTTTTAGGTTTGCAATTCAAAACGGGTTGAATTGGATTGATTTCTGTCAGCAATTAGTATATCAAAAGACCAAAACATTAGTAGACAAGCAAGTGCATGGGGCTATGGCAAAATGAACAAAAGT